GATTTGGGCATCTGGGTCTCCTCAAACTTGTCCTTCTCACTGCACCATGAGAAATTGGTCCAAAAAGCATTCGCCATTTTACGGATCATCCGACGCACCTTCTCCCGTATTACTCTCATGGACTTCCAAATACTCTATGGGGCCTACGTCAGACCGCTCCTGGAGTACGCCAACCAAGTTGTCTACTCAGGACGCACGAAAGACGTCACCCTCATTGAGCGCAGCAGGCAGGCCGCTACGAGAATGGTTGTCGGCCTCAAATCCGTGGACTACGAAACGCGTCTCGCGATGCTTGATCTCTTTCCCCGTACCGCAGCATGCTTGATCTCTTTCCCCTGGAGTACCGCAGCCTCCGGGGGGACCTTATTCTTACTTACGCCCTGTTTGAACAAAGCTTGGCAAACATGTTTTTTACCGTTGACCCAGCAAACACCCGGCGGGGACATAGTAAGGAAATTTTCAAGCTCAGAGCACACATTCATTAGACAAATTTTTTTCTCATTTCGGCTAGTAGCTGCGTGCAATGACTTTCCTCCAGCAGTTGTTCACGCTCCTTCCAGAACCCAGTTTAAAGCACTATTAGACATTTATTTATGCGAATCCTCGCGCTGGCAAGCATACTGCTCCGCGCCGAGAACATAAAGAGCAGTGCTACACCCTTTTTTCACTTGTGCCTTTCAGGTGAACGACAGCCACTGACCGACGAGAACAAAACCGACCCGGGAACTTGGGCAAAAGCCTCGATCCTGTGTATCAATCCGTTAATCCGCGAAAAAGTTCGCGTGAGTAAAGGTCGACTGAGTGCTCTTTAGGACACGTGAATAAGTTTGGTAATGTTGAGTCTACGCATGCGCCTTATTGACGTCAAATTGTACATATCACAAGCAGAATTCCCGGAGCTATCCTGGAATATATCATCCGAATCGCTTCAGAATACATTCTCGCTCGCCTTGACAATCCATCTTCCCTTAACTTAAGCACTTTGAACACTTAACTCGTTGTTCACTTGCTTTGTGGGCACACGCAATTTATATGCGCGCTTCCCGTTTTGTACGGAACCAACCAATCAAAATGACGTCTTGCGCATTATTCGTGGGCTATGCTATGCCACTCGCCCACGTTTTTCTTTCGTATTTAGCGGTCTATTAGAGGTCAATGATCAATTAATCCAGTCCAACCACAATTAACACGCATTTGCGCGCAGGGATGCCGAACATGTGCTAAGCGTTTTGCACCGTGTGTGAGCCTTGAACTCGAGAGGATAAGATACATCCAGGTGGCTCGGAGCTTGTTTGTTCGCAAAGGCAAGCATCCAAGTGGCATTTTCGAACCAGAATTTCCCATTCCATGATTCCTAAGGCTCGCATTGATCTGGCCGCTCATCAAAGACCACACGTAAACAGAAGGAAATACGTTTCAGCGCGTATTAACAGCACACCTGTTCTTCTTCAGCTGGACACAGCATCGGACCTCAATATCATCTCTTCTTCTTCAGCTGGACACAGCATCGGACCACAATATCATCTCAAAAAGAACTTGGAAATTTCTCGGTGGTTCAGTGGAAACCGGAACCAGACAAGTTACACGTAGTGCATCCAGCAGTTTACTAAAGCTCTCTAATGAGTTCAAATGTACCATGACTCTCGACGGTATCACTGTAAGTGGCATTAGTCATGTGTCCGGTCGTCCCGGATTGAATTTGTCAGGGTTAGATTGGATTGACAAGCTTAACCTTTCGGACATGCCACTCAATAATGTCTGTTGCAAGACACAGGCGACGAAACCAAACATATTCAAAAAACTGTCTTACTCGTTCTGGAAGCAGGACTCTGAATGTCGCAGTCTGTGCACTAAGTCCTTGTCCCTTAATCAAATGGACAAACCAGGAGATCTGTGTTGAAATCTCGGGGAGGCTGACCAACGGACGACCTCATTCATGCTTTCTTAATCAACTATCGGAAGACAGTAGACCCAAGTCCGCCTAATAAGAAGTCTCCAGCCATTCTTTTTTAGAGAAAAGTGAAGGCATTGTTTGGTGCATTGCGCACCGGAAAACCAGGGGCACATGCGATGAAAACCAACCAGGAAAATTCAACGGCGTATGTCGCTCTGGACGTATTTTTAGCCGTCGAGTCTCCGTCCCTGTCAGAGACTGCTCAACGAATCGCTGGAGCTCGGGAGTAATGTTGCGACGAAGAGGGAATGTCGTCTATGAAGTACATGTTGGGGGAGCAGTGTGGATTAGGCATGCTAATCAAGTTCGACATTGCATACGATGCGATATGATAAAAGAAATAAAAACAAATCTACAATTAGACATCCTCCTCGAAACGTTCGAGAGGCAACCGAAAAATGAGTCAACAGAGCCGAACATTGGCATCAACCCGTCCCCGTTGCAAGGAAGAACTGGACGACGAAGAATTCCAGAGAAACGTTCGCAGATAAATTCCAGGTTACAGACCTAGGATCCATCTCCAAATGGGGGGGTGTCGGGATGCGCCCAGGCATGGAAAAAGTACATGTGCAGAGAGTGACGCATACCAAGGTCACCAACCGTAAGACACACCTGGAAAGCAGATGCGTTGGCGGAGCTCACCAAATACGGCAACATAGGACCAGCGGAGTGGCCTTGAAATTGTTCACGACCCGTGCACTGCCATAGGCTGTACAAGGCGAAGAAGTGAACGACTATATTTGGCCATTTAGTCATCCTTTATATTTACGCAGAACCTCTGTATATTTTGTCCTGACAATACAGCTGTGTCCCAAGTTCTCTGTCTTCTCCTTATCGCGTACTCTGGCAGGCTTGGTGTGTAACCAATGGACGGCCACCCACGATGCAACAAGGATAATACTTCTAGAATTCTTTAGAGCTCTCTGCTTGCTTTGCCCAGCGGATGAATGAGTTCACACTTGAGCTTTTGTGGGCAAAGTCTCTAGTAAATAAAACTATTGAAAGATGATCGTTCAGCTGGGGCATCCATTCGGTACATGTCTACCGCGCCACCGGAAGAGACACAATGGCTGGGATACTTGTAGACTGCCCAGTCCTGGACCAGAAGGATTGAGATGCTGTGGTTAGGTTCAAACCATGGACATTCTGGTACGTAAGCTGATGCACTAAACTTACTACTAACCAGGCGACGACTTATACTTGTCCAAGTTTATGGCCCCAGGGTGCATCCTAACCCATGGATGACAGCAGTGCTGACCGCTGCTGATTCAGTGGTCAACGATGGTGGGTCTGAAGAATTATTATGAATAAATTACTTGTTATGTTCCACACACTAATTCACACCCGTAATACTGTGATGCGCCTCTGCTTGACTTGGCGGTTCACACCAATGTTTCGTTGTTCTCTAGCCATACTACACAGATTTTACTCCCATAGCCTGAAAATTGGTTGTCGTTTGGTTTGACTACACGTTTAGCTTTTCCAGTGGCTGTGCTGTTTGCTTGTCTGAATTCACAGCTTTTTTACTGGCCTGGATAAAACGTCTGGTAGCTGGGGTTATTCAATAATACATAAACCGCAATTATGACCGTTTGGTGGCCTGTCGCCCTGCATATCTAATAGCATACACAAGGGATGAAAACTTCGAGTTGTGAACGAGACGACCCTGAAGGGAGCGTTGCCCTGTAACGTTGCACCATGGTGCTCTCGTATACTCGCCACCACTTTCGTATCACGAGTGCATCGCCCATTGTGATTCTGAGGAGCGTTGCCCTGTAACGTTGCACCATGGTGCTCTCGTATACTCGCCACCACTTTCGTATCACGGGTGCATCGCCCATTGCCGGTGATTCTGAGCAGATCCCTTAATTCAGGAAAAACATAAAAGGGCACCGTTTTTTGTCAGTACTTGGATTGCATTGTTCCGGTTGCCACTTGTCTTGCAACCCCAAGGAATATAGGCGAATGACACATGTGATTTCGTTTGATTTAAAATAAATATATGCATGGAGTAGTCTGAGGGTACTATGCGAAGCTCACGGCTAACTTCGGAGTGCGAGGAGTTGCCACCTTCATCTTAGTTAGGTTGAACCACCCTAATTCCACCTCATCATCCGGGCATAACACACGATCTTCCCTGTTGTTTTATGAAACGATCATAATAACACAGTGTAAATTCCTTGTTGTTTTCTGAATACCGGCAGTTAGAGCTAGCCCCTAATGGCTGTTTCACCATGCAACATTTGTTTCTTGGGAGCCGACAGCATCGAATCGGTGACTGGCAACCCATACTCTCAACTGCCTGTGAACATGACGTTGCAGATTTCAGTAAAATTACGGTTCTTATCCACTATCGGCTTGCCTCTTCCACGAGTCCAGTGCCAGCCCAATGCATTAGCGCTATCTTTCCGTCGAACCTACCACTTACACTGGACTCCCTGCAACAGTGGCACCAGTGAGTGTACTTAGTTTCGGGGTAAACTATATTTCCGAGTCAAAACGTGTCGTTTGCTTCTGCATCGGCCCTTTCCATCCCAATCTCCACCTTTGCTTGTCGCGACTCTGACCATTTACTTAACCGCCCAAGGTCACTCATTGCCAGCAATGGTTCCCACTTTTAGTTCATGTCATCCGGCTTCATATTTGAACTAGTCGGATCCCATGCCCATAGTTCTAGTTTCTCTCGCTTCCTTCATCTGCGATTACCTTTCATGTAATAAGCATACCCATTTAGTTGTACCTCCCCCCGTTGTGTTGTAGCCTGCCGCGTTCAGGTTGCAACGAGCTGACCGGGCCTCAGTCGACATGTTCTCTACAATCTGGGAAATAAACGTATCATTAGTTCACCAAGTATTGCCCACTGCTTACGACATTGACCTCTTCTTCGCGCAATCTCCAGTACCCACAAACCCTCAATCATGCTTCATTCTGACTGTAAAGTTATGATTATGCCTGACGGTACGCCGCCCACAAGTTGGGAATAACATTAATATTGCGTTCAGGTTGCAACGAGCTGACCGGGCCTCAGTCGACATGTTCTCTACAATCTGGGAAATAAACGTATCATTAGTTCACCAAGTATTGCCCACTGCTTACGACATTGACCTCTTCTTCGCGCAATCTCCAGTACCCACAAACCCTCAATCATGCTTCATTCTGACTGTAAAGTTATGATTATGCCTGACGGTACGCCGCCCACAAGTTGGGAATAAACATTAATATTATCATTGTAAGCGTGTGCGCCTTGGCTTTGCCATGCTCGTGATTGAAACTTATGAATCCACAGTTGGCAAAATGTTTCTGCTTCTTACATGTACTAATAAGCCCCGAATTGGTAACCACCCCTTTAGGTTTTTTGTAGGTCAGCTTTGTCTGATGATGAAACTGAAATGAAAATGTGCAGTCAATATAGCTTCTTCCGAACCTTTCCTTAAATTTTTCAGACATCTTATTGCTAGAACGGCCACCTCACTTCTTGCTCCAATATTTCAATTGTGAATTACATAAAGAACCAATGTGTTCACTGTCGTTGGACCCAAGCTATCTGAAACCGAAGGGCGGTGTATACAATGTAGTCGAAAGATCAAGTTTCATATACTTGATTCCTAAAATTCAGTGACATGATAAGC